GCTGGATGAGCACGGAGAAGCCCGCGAGGCCTTTCTCAATGGTGGAGATGGCCATAAACGCAAGGAGGAGTTTTTCATCTAAGCTGGGGGTGGGGGGGAAGGGGTGTTGGGGGTGCTGTTTTGGGAGAAGCGGCTAAGGAAGGGGTGCTCTGGAAAGGGGAGAGGGTTGGAGGAAAGCTGCTGTTGTTGCTGGGGTGGGGGGAGGGCCGGATTCAAAAAGGAAAACAAAAAGATGCTTTAAAGAATCAAAATCCATTGTGTACAAAACCCACCACATGCGGCTGCCACCTTTTCGGTTTTATTTTTGAAACCGAGGATTTTTTAGCCCCACCCCTTAGCCGGGAAGCTCCACCCCCCTGCCATCGGATGCCTCCTTCCACCCCCCCCAACCCCTGCTGGAGTTATGCCCTGTTAAATTTGGTGGAGGCAGTTATGCATGCTTAGCTGTGCCCCCGGAAAAGTGGGGGGCACAGCTGCTGCATTTCCATTCCCTTTGGGGTGGAGGCAGCGCTCTTGGGGGAGGGGGCTGTGGCTCTTTGTAAATAAAGTCCAAGTGGGGAGGTGGGAAGATGGAAGACCCATGGAATGCTGAAGGTGGGGTGAGGGACATTTTAAAACCAGGTCCAATCCTAGTAGCCCCCATAGCTTGTTAAGTCTGATTTTCCCAGATATTAGCACTGAGTTTCACAATATCTGGGGAGGAAGACAGGGCTAATGGGTTTAGTTTTGGGGCACCCTGATCTTCTGAATGGATGGAGGACCCTTTACCTTGAGTTCTGGGAAGGCGACCATGGGGACCTTGTGTCTGTATTCCTCACCCTCCGTAATTCCGCCATTAAGGAGTGCCGGTGTGATAGCAGTCTGCAACTATGGAGTCTTGGGGATGTCTTGAAGTCTCTTCAGGGTGTGGGATCCTTCTCGGCTGCATGCTTTCCCCGGTGAGGCCGGGCTGCTCAAGGAATCTTGGGCTGTAAGAAGCAGGTTGACTCTTTTATTTCTTCAAAGCCATGATGGTTTGGGGAGGGCGAGGGAGGGGGGAAGAGGAAGGGGGTGTCTGTCTGTCTGTCTGTGTCATCCTTGTTACGTGATGTTCTTGGCCGGGGGCAGGAGATGGGACCACAAAGCCCATTGGAGCATCCAGTTCCCACACCATGTTCACCTTGTCATCCGTCCTGGACAGCACAGCATTGCCACCAAAAGGCCATCTTCTGCAGAAGGTGGAAGACATGGCTGTCTTTTATTTATTTTTTTTTTTGAGTCTGGCCAACTTAAGTATATCGGTGAATGCAGATTCAAGTTGGCTGGCCTCCAGCACCTCCTCCCTCCCTCCCTTTTGCGCAGGTGGTGGTGACGTTCTACCATCCTGCTCTGACCCCAGAGATGAAAATGGGAACGTCAGCGTAGACGACCCTTCCCAGCCCTCCTCTTCTCTTCCCATTCCATCTCCTTCAGAAGAAGCTGATCTTGGCCATTCTGCAAAAAACAAAACAAAACCCAGAACGTAGGAACCCCTCAGCCCCAGGTTTGGACCCTGTTTCAATGAACTTCACCTTCTCAGATGCAGCTGTGGTAGAGGATGGGTTAAGGAGCCACTGTTAAGAAGGGCTGCTTTGCCCCGGGGACAATTGCGTCGGACTGCTGCGGATAAAATGCCTGGAATAGATGGACTTGGGACATCCCCCTGGAATTCATTCCCTGTATCACCATTCCCAAGGCAGCTGCTGTTCCCCTGCCCTCTTGTGCTTCGGCCCACAAGGGGCAGTTCAAACACATTCTCTCAGCCTCTTGCAACCTCTTACGCCTGGTGATCCCTGATGGTTCCTTCCAGTTTTGCAGACTTTTCTCATTTGTGCCAGTAAATGCCCACCCCTCCCCTCTTCCCTGCCGTTCTCCTGCAAATCTCCCACCCCTTTCCCTCTGTCTCTTGTCTGGGGAGAAAACATGCAAACGAAACAGAAGAAGAAACTGATGTGTGATTCTGTGTCCGTCTCTGGCTCGCAGTTTTTATTTTATATTGTTTGTGTCTTGGAAGAAGGGGAGATTAAAAAAAAAAAGGAAAAATATAATAATTAATATATAACTGGGGGTCGGGATGTGTATAGAGGGGCTTATTCCTCTGCAGCCCAAGACTGTTTCCCCCCCGTGCCCGAAAGTTAATATATATGTAAATATCTATGTCTGCCTTTTAACCACCTTTGATACTTCAATAAATCCCCCTGATTAATTCTTTTAACACCAGTGGTTGTGGGATCCTTGTTCATGAGCGTCTGCCAAGCCTGCAGAAAACACGACAGCTTCGGAACAGAGGGTGGGGATGTGGGGGGACATTTCCCCTTCCTCATATAGGATAAAATACACCCACTAGGCCAGTTTCTCAAGCTCAGAAACTTTGAGATGTGTGGACTTCAACTCCCAGAATTCCCCCAGCCAGCATGATTTGCTGGGGGAATTCTGGGAGTTGAAGTCCACACATCTTAAAGTTTCTGAGGTTGAGAAACACAGCACTAGGCAACCTTCATTCTTCAGACTTCACAGGGGCCCGCAGTAAACCGACCAATGTGGTCTTGTGGCGAGGGCCAGTGGTGTGGAATGCCAGCATCTGCCCAACCTTGATGCCCTTGGAAGGAGCCATCGCTGAATGGGGCATTCAGCTGCTTCTCTCCTGCAGAGGAGAAGATGGCTTTGATGGGACCTGAAACACTTTGAAGTAACGCACTCTGGTTTATATAAAATACATGTGCTGTTTTTCCTTTCGCAGTAGCCCTGCTTGGTATGCCTAGGCCCATTATGGAAGTTCTTTCAAATAATAGTAATAATTTCAATAATAATAATCTGAACTCCTCAATTACGAGAAGTTGCATTACTCGGAACAGCACATACATTACAATAGTTTTTGGCTATCCAGGATTGTTGGGAAGGGTCTGATTGTTCTGACTGGATTTGATGCTTTTAACTATCTGGTAGACTGGGTAAATAGCAACGACGACAATAGTAGAGATTGCAAACATTTGGAAGAGGTTGACAGTGTTACCAATTGCGCAATATCATGAGGACTTAGAATTAGGGCTGCCTAAATTTGAAACAATTTATGACAGCCCACCTACAAGCAACAGCACTGTGGGGGACCTCATACATAATTAGACACCACTTTATGATTCCCAAGTCCCTGGGTAGGGCTTGAATGCCGGGGTGGGGTAGAGGGAGAAAAAAACCAGGAACATCAGCCGTGACACACGATTAATGCAATTGGAATATACAGGTAGACCTTGCTTGACCCCAATAGGGACCAGAACATTTGTTGTTAAGCGGGGCAGTTGTTAAGCAAGTTGCGTCCGATTTTATGACCTTTTTTGCAGCAGTCATTAAGCAAATCATGTGGTTCCCCATTGATTTTGCTTGCTGGAAGCCAGCTGGGAAGGTCACAAATGGTGATCATGTGACCCTGGTACACTGCAACCATCATAAGTGTGAGCTGGTTGCCAAGCGCCCGGATTGTGATCACATGACTGCAGGGGTGCTGCAACAATCGTAAGTGCGAGGACCAGTTGTAAGTCCCTTTGTTCAGCACCGTGGTAACTTTGAACAGTCACTAAATGAATGGTTGTTAAGTGAGGACTACCTGTAATATTGGGCTGTTTCTAGAGATCTGCTCTATTTTTCAGAAGGGGAAAAAGCCAAGAGATTTGCTTAGTCTTGCACAAACAACCACATGGGAGGGGTGAGTCACACTATAGAAGTAGATCCCACTAGATCCTCTTCTGCTCTCTGAAGTGCTTTCCTTCGAATTGCAAAGGGAAACCTGCTTTATTCTTTCCTTTGTATTGTTCTCTCAATAACCCTGCAAGGGAGTTTGGATGAATAACAAGCTGCGTTCCTGAGTAGGGATTTGAACGAGGTCTCCGCTGGAATCTGCGTTGCATCCTTTCCTTTTCCTGCAACACCATTAACGCGTTCTTTGTTCAGGCTTAGCTCAAGGCCCTCACGCCCCTGCAGCTGCCCCTCGCCATCTCGAGGTCCTCCTTGCTCTCACTCCCTGTGTCCACATTTTGTATTGCCAGTTCAGTCGACATCTCATAACAAGCACACTTAAGTCCAATTCGGCTGGAAATGGAACCAATATTCTGGTGCTTTACACTTTACACCGCCTCCCTTCCATTTCTCTCTTTCCTCTCATTTTTATTACTCCAGCGGGTTCTTTCCCTGCGTTCCCCATCTGTCATCCTGTACAAAACTCTCTTCTTGTGGAAAATATTTCCACTGGGAGCTCCCAGGAAAAATATTTTAAAACAATCGAAGGAGTGGGGGGAATTTAATGTTAAACAAAATGGCATAAATTCTAGGTTTGCAGCTCTTTTTATGGAAGCCACGATGTCCAAGTAGCTGGGGCAGTGATCCAGGTCAAAGCAGCAGAACCTCCAGCCGTGCATCATACTTCATGATCTCTGACGTGTAACTATCATTTCCCCACCAGAATTAGTCCAAAAGGCCTCCTAGCTGAGCATCAGTCGTTTGGATCTTACCATAATTGCGACTGTGTTTTGCATTCTAGACAGCTGTTGGGCCCTCACAGCTGGTGTCCTATGAACTTCATCATGCCATAATTTCAAGTAAATGTCCTACACACACATTCTTGTAATTTGAACGCACTTGCTGCATTCTGATACTAGTTTGGAGAACCAATGGGCATCGAAGCAGTTTGGGAGGGGGGCATGTGGGCAATTTAAAATGCCCCTCTGCAAGATCAGTAGGTGCCTTCTTCTGATGGAATATCACCCCAGGGCATCATGGGAAATGAAAATAGAAGCTTATATCACTAATGTTGCACAGGCATTGCGAGAAATGACCATGGTGCTCATTAGATGGAGGAGTAAACTTACTCAGGGGCAGTGCCCAGAATGCATCCCAGGCATGCTTCCTGCTAATAATGCCTGGGATCTGAGCAGTGCCTTGAAAACCTGCGCGTACCATTGCTGGCAAAGCACCTCCACCAAACTTTGGATGGAGGATGAAGACAGACATCGAGTCTGAGCAGTGGGGCAGTTTGCACAGAGCGTCTTGCTATTGCAAGCAGGAGGAGCAAATGTGCAGACAGACCTCTTTCATCCTAGTCTGTTCTTCTGTTTCTTCAACACACCCTTAAATTAAAAAGCAGGGAGGTCATTCTGTCCTAAAGAATCTCATAGGAGTCCTCAGTAAGTGTCTTCCAAGCCTTATGATCTTAGGCATTGAATAGCACTTGCTACTTCCCAACCAGAATTAAAGGGTTGAGGGTCAAGTGTAAAATTTTGAGTGTAAAGTGTAAAAATTAAAAAAAATTAAATTTTAATTTTTTAAAAATTAAAGGAGTGAGTGCAAAGTCCAAGCAGAAATGAGGCATCCTTAAAAAGGGTATGAGGGGTAAGTGAACAAGAAAGAGAATGGGTCGATTTTTAGAGAAGAGAGTTTGGCCTCATTCAGCCTTGTTTAGAACTTTCAGCCTGTTAATCCTAGGATTAATAGGTCCCTAGGTGAGTTGTATGGCTTGCCCAAACCCAACTAAAGCTGCATTTTGCTGGGTTTTAATCACAAATGACATCAGTCTGAAACATGAGAACCACTGGCTGATTTCATACCACACGCTAAAGTAAGATAACATGGGACAGGGCAGTTTGCAGTTCTGCACGTTATGTGAAGTCCAGCCATCTTAGCATGTTCAGTAAATCAGATCATCAACATTAAGATGCAATAGGGTCTGTTTCTTTGGGCATCGCATCTTATGCAAACACAGTAATTGGTTTTTCCAGGTTTAACATGTTGTTGTGCACGGCCTCTACTAAGTTGATTGACTTCTTAATCGGGATCCAGGGAACCTTTAGAATTTGGGGGGAAAAGATACGTGCTGCTGCTTCACCCCACCTCTTTTTTTGCCGCAGCAATCAACTCATGCTGAGGTCTGGATAGCGTCCTTTTCAGATCACCACCAATGGTGAACACCCAATATGTGTGGAAGTCCAACAGGCCCTTCCCGTTGGGTTCCTACATCTGGAGGGCAGCCATATTTCTACTTAATTTATCCCTGTCCCCTTTTCTGCAATCATGAAAATATATATATTTTTCCTCCACACTACAACTCGTATTCCTTTCTACATCATATTTTCAAACTCATGTTCTTTAGTGGCATTTTATTTACCCAACTCCCAACCTTGAACCATCTCACCAGAAAATTCTATCTAGCTCAGGCTTTCCAAAGTGGTGCTCCTTAAAGGTTTTTTTCCCCCCGCCAACTTTCATTAGTCCCAGCCGTTGCCAATAGCTCAGGGTTGATGGGAGGTGTAGTCCAAACAATCTGCAAGGCACCATCTCCGGGAAGGCTGCAATAGCGTGCTCAGTCCCCATCTAGGATTCACAGAGTTTGGATTTCTATTTTTGCTTCTTGCCAGTAATTTTATCTCAGTTTTATAAACTGTTGTACACACCATATTGGAGAAGAAGAGAAGTTCTTCTAAATGGTTAGTTTAGAAGATTACAAAAAAAAAAAAAAATAGAGTACTAGAAGGATGGAAGCTTACCCATTCTTTCTGGCCTTGTATTAGCCTTTTGCTTGCAATTATTTCCCAGGCCTGTGGTCCCGTGTTGCTCTCCTGCCCCTTTTGAATCAAACCAATGGACCCATCTGTCCCTAATGCTAAAAATTATGGCAGCTGCCAGAGCAAAGATGGATGGTGTCTGCTCACTGGGGCAGCAAACTCATCCTAAGAATCAAATTGTTCTTAACGAATCTCATTTTCCTCATTAACAGGTAAGCATCTTCCCCAGCCTTCTGGTCTTTGGCTTCGTTGGGTTTCTAATCCAATCCACCTCCAACCTTTCAAAGGGGATTAGTAGAAGAGGGTGTGAAACATCCACCATGAAATAAGGTGTCCTGAAGGATTTCCCATCTAAAAACGTGCCCTCTTCTGTAGAAATCCTTATCAGCTCACTCATGCTATGCTTGTGGGCATGGCTGTGGCTGATGTACTGTAGGGGGAACCATTTGCTCTTCCTCTTGCAATCCAGGATTAAGCTGGGAGGCTGAAGCAAGTTCTAAACAAAGCCCTGAGCTAGGGTGGCATCAGGAGGGCAGGAGCGGGTTCCCCTCCAGCTAAAAGCACCACAGACCTGAGAAGATTATTAGGGTCCTTCCAGTGAGGCTTTTTTGGTGCATTTGTTCTCGGAATCTCATGGAAAACTGCAAAAGAAAGATGTTGCCTTCCCTCTTGTGATGTCCCCCACTATTTTTCTCTATCTTCTTTGCATTTATAGTCTTTCTTTGAGAGCTCAATGGGTTTACATCCCCACAACTATGTTATGAAGGTTAGGCTGGGAGAGAGCAGCTATCACCCAGTGACCCATCATGAAGGGACTTGAGCTGGTATCTCTGTAGGCTTTAAGAGGCCTTTGATGAGTTCAGAGTGCACCCATGCTGGATCTGAGCCACGTTTCACATTTTGGATCTGAATATCTGCCACATATGTCACAAACACCCTTTGGGGAGGGAAAAATGGATTTTCTGATTCTAGCCCAGTGTTTCTCAACCTTGGCTGCTTCAAACTCTGTGGACTTTAACTCCCAGAATTCCCCAGCCAGCCATGCTGGCTGGGGAATTCTGGGAGTTGAAGTCCACACTGCTTAAAGTGGCCAAGGTTGAGACATCCTGTTCTAGCCTGTTTGGAAATACTTCCAGAAAAGAATAAAATGTGGCTGGATAAATAAGGATATGTCTATCACTCCTCACCTCTCCTAGGATGACTGTTGAGCTATCCTAGATTTAGGTCAATGTTGGTATTTTTGTGCATGTTCTCATATAAAAAATGTGCATGCATACGCCTCCCACACCAGCTTTCCCATTTAGGGTGCCTGTCAGAAGTAGGGACGCTTATTCCCAGAGTTAATGCTGGCTGGGAATTCTGGGAATCAGAATCCAATTAAAGTCCACACACCTGGATCGTGCGCAGTTTGGAGAATTCAGATACAAGTACACGCTCATGTGCACGGTTAGGAGTCCTGGATTTTGGTAGCTTAACAGCCAAAAGGTAAATACTGTAGACACCTCCCTGGACTTCTGGCTTTGTATTGTCTAGCCAGGAGGACCAAGGGCTTGGGTTTCAGAGAAAAGGCAAGCGTTGAGTTGACGTTTAGGGATGAAGGTTCAGACCAAAGGGGTGACAAAGAAGAGGAGCCATCTTGAAGAACAGCTGACCTTAAGGGGAAGTGATGAAGAAGCAAAGACCACTGAGTGATAATGCGATTGCTAATTCTAGTTGTTTCTGGGACATCATTTTTCACCTTCAACCCGTTT